CCACAAGATCTTTCTTACATTAAAAAAAAAATGAAAATGAAACAAAACAAAAACTAAATAAGAAGTACATTATTTATGAAAATAGCCTATTGTGTCGCACACCCTAACTTAAATAAAAAAAAAAAAACAAGTTTAGACCTACACAACAAATAAAGAAGAAAACTGCATTCAAACAAGTAACAATAGGAAATACAGACTTTTAAGTGAAAAGCTTGCATTATTTACTGCTCAAATCAAAACTGCAGTCGCAACATGAAAAGTCTTTCAATAAAGTGCCGTAAAAGGCTCACTAAAAATTGCATCGAGCAACCTTGCCGTCGACAAAGCAAATTTAATAACTGCAGTTTCTACATTGTTTACAGATACCCAGATATTGCAATGAAAAAAACAGTAAGAATAAAATGCCACACAGCAATAAAAGCTGTATCAACATTTGTTTTTACATCCATAACAATAAGAGCAATAACAATGACCATGACAACGTTTAGTAAACTTCAATTAAAAAAAAAAAAAACAAGCCATAGCAATATATCTACAACTTTGTAAGGCATTAAAACGAGCAACATAATAATAATAATAAAATAGAGCAACAGACGAAATATTTAAATCATTGCAGATATGACAAACAGATAAGGAAAACAAACAACAAAATAAAACTTTGAGAACAACAAAAAGGCCATATGTTTATTTAATGTTTTAATTTTAACCATCAATAAGCTGAATAGCGAAATGCATAAATTAAATTGATACGCCAATCGCTAAATTAATTTATGTAGTACATTTTTTGTTTTATTGTCATCCAACAGTTATATAACTAGATTTTAATCTATTATTATTTGAAGCACAATAAGTAAATTAATTGGCAAATAATATTTAGTGCTTGATATCCTACAGAAATCTGCGAATAAGCCTTTTAGCGGTCTATATCAAATAGTCTGTGTAATTTCTGAAATTCATTTCATACAAATATTTCCAAAGTTCATGAAAGAAATAATTTTACCACTACTTTTCGAGAACATAGTTTATAAATTTCTAGTTTAAACACTTGACATTTTGCGTCCCAGAGAGCTATCAAATGCAGAAAAGCCCCTAAATTGAAGATATATGTATAGTACCTGTAACCCTGCATTGCATACACACATGTACACAATATATATATCTTTATATACGTATATTCCCCATAGATAGCCATAAGTACATGCAACAGAAGCCGCGAAAGGATGGCAAGGATGCCAGCCAAGTTTTATGGCCGCAAAGTATGCAATAATAAATTGAGCAATTGTCGCTGAAAAGGACGAGGGGGCGGAAAAATGGGGCGTTGGACGGTGGGCGGGATCGTCTGTCCTTTGGGGCTGAGGCTGCCACTTGGCGCGCACGTAATGAGCATATTTGTAGCACACTTCTCGCCGTACGTGTGTGTCCTTTGAGGGAAAGTTTATGCAAGTTATTTTTACTCTGTAACCCGGAAAAGTCGGCAACCTGTATTCACCCCGGGAACCTTTGAACTGCTAGCCGAATTTCCGCTCGATTCGGGGCGCAGGTGTTGAGGCGTGGCACTTGGAGCCACACAAAAAAAAGCATAAGGACCGTTGTCATACACTCCTTCACAACGTTCGATGGGAAACTACACTGGCAGAAAAAATTTTGCGAATACAAGTAGTCCAATGCACTCGCATTTAGCTATTTTATTTATTAAAATATTCCCTTTTTTTTAATTATATAATTTAACTATTTTCGGAATAGATTTTATTATCAGAAAATTTAATTTTAAGTAAAACCATTATTATTAAATATTAAATTATGCAATTAAGAATGCATTGTGTTCAATATTGTGTTTTTATATTCAACTTAAATATGAAAAATATAAATTTTGTTTTCAATAGTCCATTTTTATTAGTGTAGGCGGGGGTTTCCATATTGAAGGACGATTTGATTTCCCTTCGTGTTGTTCTTTCGATCCCCCAACGTGTTTTCCTTTCCTTTTTCCACTTTCCGTGCTCAAGTTTTTCCTTTGGTATATCTGCATTTAATGGTCGCCAGTGAAAGATGAATTCAAGTGCTTCGATTTCGCGAAAAGTGTTGTGTTCAAGTGGTTTGAGGAAGTGAAGTGAAGCTGCTGTTGTAGTATAGCACTTTAAAGGGCATGATTTAATTTGCGATTTATTGAAGCCATTTTATTAAAAACCAAATAACGAGATCAAATAGATTTTTTATATTAAAGTAACTTACTTGAAATTGACCTTTATTCAAGAGTGAAATGAAAAATTGCAATTCTATAAAGTCTATAATAAATCTATAAATAATTCAAGTCTTAAATATATAAATAAATCATTTATTATTTATGCTATGTAAGAAAGAGAATAAAATAAAAGAAAATTTAAATAAAGATTATATAAGCATAAGCATAAATGAAATGAAATTTAGTATGTGACATTCATTTTCGGGGATACAAGTCATATGCAGTCTCTGAAAGTAATATCTATGAATGTTTATGGATAAAAGTTTTTAAATTGTGAATCGATAAAAGTTTTTTTTTATTTTTTTCCTACTTTTCTTTTTTTCAGTTCTTTCTGGCCAAAATAAATATCTTCCCGAGTTGCCCTATATCCTGGCGCCCATTAGACGAATTATATTTTAACTGGAGTGCATTGAATGTCGCATCCTTGTTTGTCCTCGAGGATCTTCCCTTTCGTCCTTGGCACTTCCTTTGTTCGCTGATTCGCCAGCCCGAAAGTTCAAAAGCGCAAAGAGCGTAAATTCATTAAACATTCGTGGAGCGGGCGTGAAAGTATTTCTTTTTTTTCACGCTTTTTAAGAGTCCTGACTGTTTGGTTGTTTGTATTTGTGTTTGTGTTTGAGTGTGTGTGTCTGGCTAACGAGCTCTCCAAGTTTAACAATGAGCGAAATTTCGCAGCTCATTGAATTTGAAGTCATGTGTAACACGACAGCGCCATCAATAAAATGGAAAGCGGAAGAAATCACGGGACCCCAGTAATCAGTCAGCTAAATATATAAAAATAGTTATACATAGCAGAATCGCTTTAAAATACTTTTTTTTTTTCTAAGTTCAACAGATTGGTTTGAATTTCCTTTTTTCCTTTGATTTTATCATCATCACCTCGGTTAATGCGATTCCACTTTAAAGTCTTCTGTGTCTTGTGCTTCTTTTCTGCATTAATATTTGTAGATTTTGGAGGAATGGCAACCCTGGTTGTCATCAGTATGCTTATATTTTACAATATTTTCCTCTTACATTTTAAAGGCATTTTTTTAAATTATTATTAATTATTTATTTATTCACACTTATATTTATTTACTATGTGTTCCAGGTATACAGGTATGAGGTATACACATTTTGCTTTAAATGTATCTTAAACAAACAGACTGATAGCTAACAATAGTTACTAATTATCATAGTTAAGCACTAAAACGTGCTGTTGGTGAATTTAAAACTTAATTTGTAGTTATTCCGTGTAGCCAACAAAAAAAAACAAAATGTAGAGAATACTAGACACTTGAGTTTTGTCCCCGAATCGGAACAAAGTCAGGTGCACGAGGCCATGGCCATGGTGGTTGGGTGGTTTTCATAAGGTTCATGAGGTTTGGTGTGCTCTTTGGTGGGTGGTGGCTGGCCGAGAAGTCCCCAAAGTGCGCCCAAATCGAATCGCAGTGAAAAGAACCTGTGGCCATGGCCCTGGCAATGTCGTCACTCGCTAATTCCATTAGTCTTAGTTGTCAGATGTTTCTTGGCTTCCGGCTGCGTCGATTCGGTGTTAGTTCAGTTGTCTGTCAGCTATCAGCCGGACCCGTGACTGTGACTGTTCCCTGAGAAAAAAATCACAAGTGAGCACTGTGAAAGCTCCTGCGAGGAGTCCCGTTTCAATAATTTGCATAAATCTCCATCTGGGGTAATGTTTTGTCATGTCAGAGGCTCAACTTTAAAGTGGATTTTTGTTTTGCATTTTTTGTTTTTGTTTCTTTAAATTGTGTCAAGTTCATAAAGTGCGCTGAGCTTGCAAATTGGCAAGCGGATTCGGTTCTGTGCGAAATTATTTCAATTCGAATGCTAATTCAATCGGGAAGAGAAAAACTCGTTAAACTTTATGCCAAAATTGTTCGCAATTGGCAGGCGATATACAATAGATTCGTGTGTTGATTATGCACATGCTATTTGCATTTTAAATTATTTAAATAACGCCTTTAAGATAATTTATGTGTTTATTCTAAAACCATGTCAAAATTCAAACTACTTCCGTAGTTTTAGAAAATCATTTCATTTTCAAGGGCTACTTAATTGCTGTCTTTTGTTACGGATGTCCAAAAAAGCACTTCTTGTTTAATTGATGAAAGAACACATACTCTTGAAGACACTTTGACCACAAATCGAAATTGTAAATTACAGGATGCACACTCGAATACTAGAAACTAAGCCTTGATGGACATTGGGGAACAAAATAAATGCATTTTGTTGAATTTCTTATTGTAACTTGACTAATCGAGCCACACTCCGAACTCGCTTTTCAAGTACTTTGGGAAAAATCGTACTTAATTTGAGAAATTTCGACAAGAAAGCGTTTGAACAGGGCGTATAAAGAGAATATTTACAGTTTTCAATAACTTAAATTATAAAAATTTGTTTATTGGTTTGTAAACTTTATAACGAAGGTTATATTTTCAACAAGTTTGCTAATTGAGTATTTTTATAGACCATGCAAAATTGAATGTACAATTCTTCATACAGTTACTTAAAAATTTGTTTAAGATTTAAACAGTATATTAAAAACCCATGTGCTTTCTGTAGCATTTCCATTTTTTTTTTCTCTTCCGATTTCAATCGACTGATTTTCGCTCAGTACATCATGCCCATGTCTTCATTTTCTTTGTGGCAAGCCGCACAATTATTATTGCAGGAGTACCCGAACCCGAACCCCAACTCAAACCCAAACACAAGCCCAATCCAGTCATGTCTAATGGTTGTATCTTTTTTTTCCGTTTTGCAGCTGAGTTGTCGAATCGTTGCGAGTCGAGGTTTTTTGGATAAAAGGGAACCTACGGCCTGGAATTTGTGGCAGAAGTGCAGCAAGTGCAGCCGAGCCAAGTTCAATAAGCCGGAAACGGAAACGTAAACGGACCATGTGATCTACAATAAATGCAATTGTATATATCCGTTTGGAACGAGTGGTTACTATGTCTGGAAATTAACGAAAGAAAGTGCGAGAGAGTCGTGTGGGACAGATCTAGATCTGGATCAAGATATACTAACTATATATCGCATGTGCAAGCCAACGGAAACGGAAGCGTTAGCGGCAACGGAAACGGCAACGGAAACGGAAACAGCAACGGAAGCGGAAACGGAAGTGGCTAAGGTAGCGTCACCAGAGCAATAATGACTAAGAAGTACGAGTTCGATTGGATCATCCCGGTTCCGCCGGAATTAACCACGGGCTGTGTGTTCGATCGCTGGTTCGAGAACGAGAAGGAAACTAAGGAGAACGACTTTGAGCGCGATGCCCTCTTCAAGGTCGACGAGTACGGCTTCTTTTTGTACTGGAAGAGCGAGGGCCGGGTAAGCTACTATATATATATATATATATATATATATATATATATATATATATATATATATATATATATATATATATAAATATATAAATATATATATATATATATATATATATATATAAATATATATAAATATAGTATTTTATACATTCCAAACGTAGAGATTCGTTTAAACATTTTAGGAACAATTTCCTTTGCAAATTATTGTTCAACTTAACTTAACTTAACTTTGGAGAAGTACAAAACATTTAAATAAATACACAATTTTAATAAAATAAACTAATTGTAGTTTACGTTAGACGTTTTGACATTGCTAAATATAAAAAAATGCGTATTTATAAATTAACATATAAAAGATTAATTTTAAATAATACATGGAATTAAATTTATTAAAAATTATATACTGAAGATAATTAAATGAGCATTGACAATAAAGATAATAAATTACAGAAAATAGAAGAATAATAATAAGAATAATATAAAGGAAAAATTATGGTTTTGTTTCCTTAAAATCTAGAGCATAAAAAAGATGCAAAAATATAGAATTTACTGTGAGTGTTCCGAACTGATTGAATATGTATTTCCTCCACAGGATGGCGATGTCATTGAGCTGTGTCAAGTGAGCGACATCCGTGCGGGGGGAACGCCAAAGGTAAGCATTTAATACCAATTTAATATATTTTCGGTTTTTTTTTAACCCACTTTCTTTATTATCAGAAAATCGAATTTTTCTTTACACTAAGTTTTTTGTTACCAAATGCATTACAATTCAAAAAAAATCAATTCATTGTTACAGTGTAGATATATTTAAAAAGCTTTGTAGAAGCCAAATAAAGGATTTAACTAAAGGATGTAAAAAAGCTCGTCCAAAAACCAATTAGTTGCAAATATTTGCGTAATTTTTTGTTGAGATTGATTTAATTTTAAATAACTATAAATCGCTATTTTTTTGCGAACTGTTGGCGCTGATTAATTTTTCGATTTATTGTAAATAATAAGTGAGGGAGTTAAGTTATTGAATTGAATTATTAAAAATTACTTGATTATTGTAATGAAAACTAAATAGCTCAAGCATCGATAAAAAGGAACCTTTTCCTAACCAACATAAACAGACAAAAAAAGTCTAGCTTGTAATATATACAATTTAAGAATTTTATAGTTATATTGAGCATTGAGCAATTTGTCTTAGGGAAAATAATGTAGTTCCTTGCATTTTTTTTTTGTTGTGTGCTTTCTTCTGTGACACCTGTCTAGCACTTTTCATTGCCTACTTTTCCGCATTTTCCCCTCGCCACGTATTTTCCCGGCTTTTCATGCCGAGTTTTGACTGAGTGCAGTTGCTCTTTCCTTTCCTTTATTTTATTATTTTTTTTTTCTGCTGGCAGGATGAACTATCACAAAGCCATAAAACTGTCGCCTGTGGCTGCATGTGTGTGTGTGTGGTTATGGGTGTGTGGGTGTACGTCTGTGTGCGTCGGTTAATGTGTCAATATGTCACTTTTGCTCTCAATTGTTTTTAGCCAGCGCCATTTGTGGATCAAAGTCGCCGTCTTCGACTCGAAACGCATTTGTTCCATGTGCTAGATTTATTGTCACCGACCGGCCACGCCCCCTTTATTTACTCCAGTCCGACATATGGCACACACACATATATATAGAAACATATATGTATAGATATATATATATGTGTTTGTCTGTCGACGTCTCCTAAATGAAATTTATGACCTAACAGCAACAGCCCGAAATGAACCTCCATTTGGGCCAATCCGTTCTATATGTTGTCGCAGTCCTATATATATATATATATATATATATATATGTGTATATATACATATATGTTTATGGCAGATGCAGGTGCTGCCCAGAGAGTCGAACTAATTTAAATTTGCTGTCCAGTTTTCCCCTTGTCCTCCATTGACACACTTTGCCGAAGGGACGGATACTGAAAGTGAAACTTAAACTGAAACGGAGCGGAGGCTCGGATGAGTGCATCCAACTGGCAAGCTCATTGCCTATGTGCCCATGCCAATATATCCAAACCCATTCCTTCATCCATACTGCATTGGCAAAGGACTCGAACAGTGATGTTCACTAATCCTCATTTTTTTTTGGGGCCTTTCAGCCTATTTTCAGCTCTATAGCTCCCTTTATATATATCATTTAAATTTTGACAGTTTAAGTTGTTAATTTTGTCATACCATTTAAAATAGTTACTTGGTTGTTTTTGGTGAAATATAATTTGATTTGAGAGCCACTGGAAAAACAATCTATAGTTTAATTATATCATATTTGTATACCAAATTTAATAGCTCATTTTATAAAATGCTATTTTTGATAGTACTTAGCATTTAAAAAAAAAAAAAAGTTTGATGAAATTATTTACTTTAAGACTATTTGAACAATATATTATATATATAAATTATATACCCTAAAACTATTTAAAATTTTAATCATCAAAATAAAAAGGGAAATAGAATACACAATTTTTATTTTAAATCATAGATTTTTTTAAAAGCTTGAGCTAGCTACTATTGACGACAGCACAGGAAATACCCCACTTAAATCCGCCCCATTTTCATTTGCTTTTTAGCCCCGGGCAAACCCTTTGACTATGCTACATGTGGCTTACAGGTGCATCTAAGGGAAAATGTGAAAGAAAAAGGGAAAATGGGAAAAGGGAATTGGACATTGGGGAAGGGGAAGGGGAAAGGGAAAGCGGAAAGGTACCAGCCCAGAAATACTCCATTCAATTGTGAACATGTTGCCCTGGAAGCGGCCTAAGCTTAAAAAAGAATGCAGCTGAGAAATATTTGTACAAATTGGAAAAGAAATTGACCCAAAGGGGAAAAAAAAGAAATAAGTCCGTAAGTGGCAGGATATTATGAAAAGCAGAAACCGTAAAAATGCCATAACAAATGGATTCAAATGATGCCCTTAAAATTATATAAATGTAGTGAATATATATTTTTAAAATGGTTTTATATAACATTTACCTTTAAACTTTGCACTACTGTTTCTCTATGCTAAATTTATTTGCTTAGAACTTGAGCTGAGAACCTCTTGGCCAGTTTTGCGTCAGTTGAAGCCATCATCTCTGGCTCTCAACCCATCCTAACATGTTTTGTGTTTCTTTTATTCTTCACTACATTTGCCCTCGGGGAAATTCAATTAAAATGCAAAATAAACACCAGAAAGCAGAAGTTGCAAGAAATTCGCATATTGTGTGTGCCAAAATAGTTGACCATAAATGAGATGGCCGAAAAAAAAGCGCCAGCTGAAAGCAAGCAACAGACACAAAATGCAAAAAGTTTTTAGAAGGACACAAATTTTCGAACACTGAGAAAACTGTTCAACAAGTTTAGAACAAAAAAATACATATTTTTTTATCTCCGATCACGTAAACATTAAAAACTTTATTTCGATTTCGATATTTATTTATACAAGTTTACTTAAAGTGTGACCAGCCTAATAAAAAGTAATTCATAATCATACTGACATATGGTTTATTTAAATCAAGAATATTAAATGTTATATTATTATTTTATTAAAGGAAAAATATTTGATTACCGTGAATTGAAAAATTGTTTTTTATAATATTTTATTCTGCGTGTAAAGTTCATTTGTATGCGTGTGTTCGTGTGCGTTTAGTGCTCTGCCATCACTTGAAATGTTTGGTCATCAATGAGCGACACCCACAGTCAAATAAATGAAAGAGAGAAATGACTCAGGAACAGAAAAAGAAAGAGGAGAAAGTGTGTGAGCCTGAAAGAGACAAAATACACCGAAAAGCCTTGCACAATGAACCATTAAAAGTTGCTTCGTTTTGGCAGAGAAAAACCGCAGAAAAAAGTCTGAGCAGAAAAGAGGGAAGTGGGTGACACACACAACCGAAAAGAAATATTGAAAACGAAAAATTTGAGCTTGGTTGCAGTTTTTTTTCTCGTTATTGCCCCTGACTTTTCCTGGCTTTTAGTTTGCTGGCGCTTTTCAATAATGCACGAAGCTCTGCAAACGTAACAAAGCGAGTGGCACAAAAAAAACGAAGAAAAATATATAGAATGAAAGAAAGAATAAGGGAACGAAACTTTTATAACATTTGCTTTCACTTTATTTGGTTCAAAGCAGCGACAGGGGGATAAAATCGGGACGGGCTGACTTATTTAGCACTCGAAAGTCTGCTGCTTTCTTTCTTTTTCTTCCCCGACTTTCCTCACAAATTGCACTTGAACTGATTGAGCTATTGTGTGCCTGTGTGTGTGTGTGTGTGTGTGTGTGTGTGTGTGTGTGTGTGTGTGTGTGTGTGTGTGTGTGTGTATTTTGAAGGTGAGAAAAAAAACCTTCAATGGGGTCTCTGCATAATTCAATTTCCTTCAAGAAATTCACTGTTTAAGTGGATGACTTAGAAACAGCATTTAGGGCGGTAAGCAGCAAGATTCTTTTGTAAAACTGCACGTTTTAAGTGGTTTTTTGGTTATGACACTGAAGGAAAATTGGGAAGATCAGAATATGAGGAATTCATTTTTATATACAATAATGGATAGCAAACAGCAAGATAATTTAAAGTTTCTTAACTATGTATATATAGTTTTGTAGCATCATTTTAATGTGTAGTATATAGATTAAAAAAAAAAAAACAATTCTCGCTAACTAAATTGTTTACTACTAAAAGATTCCCAGTTTTTATTACTTCTGGCCTATGTTTCATTTTGCCCAGTTTATTTATCCATTTTTGTATTCAATTTGTGTCTTGCTTTTGGGCGAATGGAATTAACCGTAGCATACTTTTTCGAGCTCAGAAACTTGCGTAATTGCATTTTATTGGACGCGGCAGCAATTAAATTGAAATGCTGGCCAAAATTGAATGAGGGTAAGGTTGGTGGGAAAAGTACACAGCATTTAATTGTTGCTGACGGCAAAAACGGAAAATAGAATGAAAATATATTTGTTTGGCTCCGCGAATGCTGCACAAATGTTGATAAATGTTCTGCGCAAGCCTTGATTAATGATGCGACTGGAGATTAATGTTCTGCGATGCTGATTCAGATACTACTGAATGCGCCAAATTGCAGTCAAATGGCGGACAACGGGGCGTATGCGCAATGTGTGCGGATATAGCTAGTTGGATTTTCTAAAGCTTAGGCTAATAAATATTATTTCTTTTTCTTTTTTGGGTTTGCCCTGCAGGATCCGAAGATACTTGATAAGGTGACGAAGAAGAATGGAACCAATATACCGGAACTGGATAAGCGATCCCTGACGATCTGCTCGAATACGGACTATATCAATATAACATATCACCATGTTATTTGTCCAGATGCGGCCACCGCTAAGGTGAGTTACGGTTATGGAGTAAAAGTGATCCAAGGTGACAATGGCAGCGATCAATTAGGAGCAAAAATTCCTGCTCACATCTGTAATTTACACATCCCTTTCGCAACTGAGTCCTGCATTTCATTTTTCTGGCATACAATATTAATAACTGTAGAGTGGACCTCGAGGGCATATACCCGACCATTTGTTAGAATTAATAGATGATTCAATCCAAAAACTTTATTTATTGATAGTTTTTTGTGCTTTTAAAAGCATTTCGTTGTGAATAAGTTTAACACTATATAACTCATTCGCAATGTTCTCGATCTGCATGATTTACATTTTGAGGTTTTTTTTAAATCTATATAATTTAAAAAAGCATAAAACACATATCCAAATAAAAGTATACAAATTTTTTTTACCAATAATTATACAAATTAATTATAAATGTATTTCAATATTTATGGAAATATTACACAAACGCAAGGTTGTCATTGATAAGTTGGTTATGAATTTTTAATTATGTTGATTACATATTTTTTGATTAATCGAACTATAATTTTAAAAAATTAGCTAATAGCTTTAGGAGGTCCACCCAAATGCAGAAATGCACTGAAACTGAAATCACTCACCGAAACACACAATCCTTCTATCGACTCTCTCTTCTTTTAGATCTGGCTAGATGGCATACGAAAAATAACCCATAATGTCAAAGCGAACAATATCTGCCCCATGATGTGTCTGCGGAAACAGTAAGTGGGCGTGTTCACTACTTACCTCACCCCTTACCCTACGTTTTCCTTTCTTTGTCCTTAGTCCTCGGTCCACTATCCACTGTGTCCCATGTCCTATGTCCCTTGTCCTATGTCTCATGTCCCAAGTCCCATGTCCCAAGTCTTTTCGCCTTGCCACATTAATTCCACTTGCTGCACCTCACTCGATTACACTGTGTACATAATTGCATCGATTGTTCCGTTCTCTCTGTTCTGCATGCTGTTCTTTTTCTTCTTCTCGTTATTGTTGTTGTCGTTATCCTTTACGATTGTCTGGTCTCTCTTTATATATATACACAACTGTCTCACTCGCACAGAGCTGGCAGAAGAACTTGCGTCTCATCACGCATAACAATCGCGCCACGAATGTGTGTCCGCGCGTCAACCTGATGAAGCAGTAAGTAAGGTCACACTAAACAAAGAAATAAAACATTGTGCTTGAATGACACTAAGCGATAAAATGAATCATTTTCTAAAGTGATGCTTTAAGCAGCATTTTAAAAGTAAGAAAAACTATTCAAACGAGGAAAAAGAAAATGAAAAAACCTTTAAAATGTTTTAAAATACCTTGTATAAGACTAAACAATTAAATATTCTCTATTTTACGCTAAGAAAAAAAATATATCTATAATTTATTCATTGATATTTTTAACAATAATTAGTCAACCAATTTAGGCTCCTTAAATGTAACTTAGGAAATAGCTAATATAAAGATAGTATTCAAAATCAAGCTAAAACAATTCAAAGCTGGTGTCACACAGTCATAAGTAGAAATGCTTGTTTGGAGGTTTAAACTAAAGAGAGAGAATATTTCCTGAATCCGGTAAGTAAGTTTGTGTCCTTCGTAAATAGTTGATAGCAAATTATTAATAACGTATATATAAACACCAAAATTCTAGCACTTTAAAGTCGCTAGAGAATTTATACTGTGCCCCTCCGAAAAAAAAGGCAAAAACTGACTAATTGGAATCCCCGTTGCTACTATTCCACAAAAACTGAAATTCCATCCGTTAAACTTATTTCCCGGAAATTTCATCGACTTCTGGAATTTTCGGGTCAATTACTCGCGCTCTGTCGTTATTAATTTCCTGATTGCTGATTACGCAATTCCGAAAATTCCAACTCCGGCGGATCCCTTGGAATCTAGTTGCAATTCGATCCGTGGCCAAGGGACTCTAGTTTCCCATAGTTGTTGATTTTCCTGTTCCATGGCGTCCGTTCATGGCTTCCTTTCAATTTTAGCACAAAATAAATTCATTTTATTTGCATTTCCTGTCCCACACAAAATGGGCAAAGAAAAATATAAGAGTAAAGGGGGAAGGTCGTTCTGCAGGTCTGCTGTTCTTTTTCCCACCGAAGCCATCGTGAGAATTTCATAAGTGGGTGCGGTGGTGTAGTGTGTGTTGTGTGTCTGGTCAAAGGGCTTTCCATACTTTTGGCAAAGCTCATTTTGAAAAATAAAGAAATGTCATAACATAAATCTTTATTCATAAAGCCATTCATATCAAAAAATTGTGTGTAAATAAATATATAGCCAAGTTGAAGTTTAATTAACTATTAAAGTTGAATCATTTCCACCACTTAAAAGTTGAATTCGTTTTAGTTTCCTGTTCCTTTTCCATCTTCAAATTGTATTCCAAATAAAATTGAGTGCTTTAATGAAAATGGCAGCCTCGTCATCCGAAATTGGTTGAACAGCCCAAAGTTTAGTTTGATTCTCGCCTGAAAGGCAGGTGAAACGAATGCATTCAATGGCCAATGGTCGATGGTTGATGGTCGAATGGTCGATTTCCAGGGGGCAGTTGAAAGGCGGCCACTGAAGTCCGGTTCATTAGATATGCGTTGCCTTGCGGTGAACTCTCTGCGCAGTCGAGTGCTATGCATCCGGTATCACACACCTGCAAAGATACACTGAAATCTAACGATGCTAAATTTATGAGTTTTTTTAAAACTAAGGAGACGATTTTATTGAAAAATTAAACCCTTTTATTTTGAAGAAGATATTACAAAAATTTAAACTTTAGCTATCAGAAGTCTACAATCGCTTGTTTTGCTGGCCATTATTGAAAAGAGAACTTGCATATTAATATTTATTTGTATATATTTCTGAATTTGTAATTGTTGGTAAAAGTATTTAGGTTAGTTATAATGCTTATGAACTCGTTGCTTATGTTTTTTTTTCGAATTTATTATTCAGCCAACTATTTAACAATCTTTAAATCCAATTTCTTAGTAATATTTTCATTCAGTGTCGCAGTTTTGAGTGGTGCTATGGTTGGGTGGTAAAAAGTTGCAAAGTGCATTCAACGAGCAACCGTGTTACCCACCGATGATGCCAACACCTTTGGCCAAACGGAAGGCGGTAAAATCGGTGTTGGAACGGGGGTGGGTGGGCGTGACTGGGTAGCAGTTGCATGTTTGGGTTGTAAATTAGTTGTCCTAGTTTGCAATTAGTTTGTGATTGCATTATTTAAGCGTCATTCGGCGGCGGACCGGCAATTTACTTAAACCGAAACCGAAACCTAAACCTAAACCGAAATCGAAAACAAAACCGAAGGATGCGATAATTCCCACGGATGGATGCATGCAAATTGGACACACAAGTGCGAGCGGTCCTCGATTCAATTAGTTATGAGTTCCGTTTTCGGAACAGGTCAGGTCGTTAATCATCTGCGTAATGGATCGCCTGGACTTGATTGCTAATCAATATTTGATTCGATTACCAGTCAGCTTAGTGTTCACTAAACAGTCGCTAAAGGAGAGTGAAATGGTGTTCAATTTGCAAAATAGGTATTTGACATGGCTGAAATTTCATGGACACGTTGTTTTGCTTATGGGGGAATAGAAATTTCAATTTAAATTACAATTTCAATAAACTTTTAACTAATTCCAAGAAAGAGAAATTTTAATATTGCTAGCTTCAATTTTTTTTATTAACCTTTTATTTTATTTTATACATAACAACCCATTATGAATAACAATATTTCCTTCATATTTGTAACTTTCATAAATTAATGAAGTTAATTTATCTTTTGTTTAGCCTTCTTTCAATATATTAATATTATTTAACTAAATACTCATTATATAAACCTGTGTGAGTTTTTACAAGTTAACACTTAAATTCATAAACTGTAGTTAAACTAAGATTAAATTTTCCGTACCACTTCCAGGTATGTATAAGTACTTTTCGGCTTGTTGAATGTTAATAATTCTACGAAAACTTGGTTTTGCTTTTGTCTATTAAATTGCATTTACTGAACACACCCCAAAACGTCCTTGTTTCGTACCGGGAAAAATGTGCAATTAATTACTCTCTGCCTTCTTTCTCTTAACCCAAAAAAAATAGTTGGATGCGATTGAGTTACTGCGTGGAAAAGAGCGGAAAAATTCCGGTGAAAACTCTGGCAAAGACCTTCGCCTCCGGCAAAACGGAGAAGCTGGTGTACACGTGCATCAAGGATGCCGGTTTGCCGGATGACAAGAACGCCACGATGACCAAGGAGCAGTTCACCTTCGACAAGTTTTACGCCTTGTACCACAAGGTCTGTCCCCGTAACGATATCGAGGAGCTGTTCACCTCCATGTAAGTGAAATTTATTCATATATAACTACATTTAATGGTATTTTAATGGTATATCTGATTGCAGTACCAAGGGCAAGCAGGACTTTATCAGTCTGGAACAGTTTATTCAGTTCATGAACGACAAACAGCGTGATCCCCGAATGAACGAGATCCTGTATCCTCTCTACGAGGAAAAACGCTGCACGGAGATCATCAACGATTACGAACTGGAGGAGGAAAAAAAGAAGAATGGTGAGAAGATAATAAAATAATACAAAATATGTATAACGTAGAGAATTTTTCCATTGATTTCCTTATATTAGGCTAAATATTTTAGGTTAGATTCCTCACACTTTTAAGATACTTTAAAACACCTTTAAAACTTAAAAGTTGCGAGAAACATATATGAAAGTTGTTTACAGAGTTATTCTAAGGATATTAATATAAAACAATTATATTATAATATTTTTTTGATTACCTTTAATGAACTAGAAGAAATGTATTACTTTAACAATGTAATAACTAGTAAAGGCAGAAAGTCTGACTTTAATTATTAGTTATAAACTCTCTATTTGTTCATAAACTAATTGGAAAATCTACTAAAATGACTACAACTTTTTGCGTAATTAAAAATGTTTATAAAAAGCACACATGCTAAAGCATTTTGGGGGATTCAATGTACCAATGTGTTCTGGGAATTTATAATAATATATTTGTTTTATTCCTTTTCCCCCTACACTTAGTTCAACTATCGCTGGATGGATTTAAGCGCTATCTGATGTCTGACGAGAATGCTCCGGTGTTTTTGGATCGACTTGATTTCTACATGGAGATGGATCAGCCACTGGCCCATTACTATATAAACAGCTCGCATAATACCTATCTGTCGGGTCGCCAAATCGGCGGAAAAAGTTCCGTGGAGATGTACCGCCAGACTCTTTTGGCAGGATGCCGCTGTGTGGAGTTGGACTGCTGGAATGGAAAGGGGGAAGATGAGGAGCCGATCGTCACCCACGGCCACGCCTACTGCACGGAAATTCTCTTCAAGGTAAGTGCTTTGGGAAGTCCTTTAAGAAGGTTGGCCTATTGAAGGTTCAAGGTTAACTTATTGGCAATATAAGTAATGAAGTATACCTGCTGTAATATTTATCACATTTAAAATATGCAGTAATATCTAGCACATTTAAAATAACACAAATTCTTATTTACCTGATTTAGTAATTGGTTAAAAACAGTTGTAAAGGCAATGTAAATTAGCACCATATAACTTTCGTATTCATTATTTACATTATTACAGAACTTGCAGCTACATTTAAAATTTAATAAACATTTTCTAATTTAGGTAACATTTTTGTTTCTAAACCTACTTGTGGTCAAACATGCCAAAAGTTAAATATATTTTATACATAAAAGTTCGTAATTGATGAAAAAAAGCTGTTTATTAAAACATACAACTTTTTGTTTGTAAATTTAAAAGTCATAATTGTCAAAATAAGTCATTAAAAGTTGAAAATAATGTTGGCTATGTTAAATAAAATGTTTGAAAAATAAGTAAAGCGTAGTTAAATAGATGAAGCTAAAGTTTTTGACTGAGCTAATTTAATTTCAATTTTGATAATAGCAATGTTTTCGACTGCACTAATTTAGATTGTAACTAGATGTGAACTGGTTTCGTTTACCAATTAAAATTTTATTCTCCTCCCCGCTTAATGCTTAGGTTATATGTATAGGTTAATTGTGGTTTAATTGAGCAGAAATATCCCTTTCATAACATTGGTGTTTAGGGCAGTGTGTAATGAAAGTGAATACTTATTGAACTATATAATTGACTTGATTTATCCAACTTGTGTTAACTTTGTATATTCAATAGAGTGGTTACCAATCAAAAGAAAACTCCAGCCAAATAAAATGAATGTATTTCTTTATTGATTTCGCAGGACTGCATCCAGGCGATTGCGGACTGCGCCTTTGTATCCTCGGAGTACCCGGTCATCCTCTCCTTCGAGAACCACTGCAATCGTGCCCAGCAATACAAGTTGGCCAAATACTGTGATGACTTCTTCGGTGACCTGCTGCTGAAGGAGCCGCTCTCGGATCACCCGGTGAGTAGTGGGCATAGCTCCACCGATTTGTAGTCTATCGTTATTCCTGAACACACCCACTTTTTTAGCTGGATCCGGGACTACCGCTACCGCCGCCCTGCAAGCTGAAGCGCAAGATCCTCATCAAGAACAAGCGAATGAAGCCCGAGGTGGAGAAGGTCGAACTGGAGCTGTGGCTCAAGGGCGAGCTGAAGACGGACGACGATCCGGAGGAGGACGCCAGTGCGGGCAAGCCGCCGGAGGCCGCCGCCGCCCCAGCTCCCGCCCCGGAAGCAGCCGCCGCCGCAGAGGGTGCCGCCGAAGGAGGCGGGGGAGCGGAGGCCGAAGCAGCCGCCGCCAACTACAGCGGCTCCACCACCAACGTGCACCCGTGGCTCTCATCCATGGTCAATTACGCCCAGCCCATCAAGTTCCAGGGCTTCGACAAGGCAATCGGTAAGACAAAAAGCCTTTAATTTAAATTCATATTTTGATTCGCATTTTATATATTTTAAAGTTGGTTTAGTTTAAATCTCCAGTTAGTAAACTCATAATTTTGATGGGGCAATTACTTAAGAAAATATTTATCAGAAATTATATTCGTTTTAAGGTCAACATTTAATAGGCAACCAATGCAGTGGACTATGAGAAATGCAGAAACTTGTTGCACAGTAGATAAAAAATAATAGAAAATGTTAGACAACTGTGTGAAATGTAGGCATATATACTACATTTCCTTATTGATTATATATGTACACTTATTGATTGTGCATTTTTTTCTGTTACCCCTCATACAGAAAAGAACATTGCCCACAACATGTCCTCGTTCGCGGAATCGGCGGGCATGAACTACCTGAAGCAGAGCTCCATCGACTTTGTCAATTACAACAAGCGCCAGATGTCGCGAATTTATCCGAAGGGCACGCGGGCGGACTCCTCGAACTATATGCCGCAGGTGTTCTGGAATGCCGGCTGTCAGATGGTCTCGCTGAATTTCCAGAGCTCCGATCTGCCGATGCAATTGAATCAGGGCAAGTTCGAGTACAACGGCGGCTGTGGCTATCTATTGAAGCCCGATTTTATGCGACGTGCGGACAAGGATTTCGATCCGTTTGCCGATGCGCCAGTGGACGGTGTGATTGCGGCCCAGTGTTCCGTCAAGGTGATAGCCGGTCAGTTCTTGTCCGACAAGAAAGTGGGCACCTATGTGGAGGTGGACATGTTCGGACTGCCCTCCGATACGGTGAAGAAGGAGTTTCGCACCCGTTTGGTGGCCAACAATGGTCTGAATCCGGTGTACAACGAGGATCCCTTCGTGTTCCGCAAAGTGGTGTTGCCCGACTTGGCTGTGCTGCGTTTTGGCGTTTATGAGGAGAGCGGAAAGATCCTGGGACAGCGAATCCTGCCGCTGGACGGCCTGCAGGCTGGCTATCGCCATGTCTCGCTGCGCACAGAGGCCAACTTTCCCATGTCCCTGCCCATGTTGTTTGTGAATATCGAGCTAAAGATCTATGTACCTGACGGTTTTGAGGATTTCATGGCCATGCTGTCGGATCCGCGTGGATTCGCCGGGGCGGCCAAGCAGCAGAACGAGCAAATGAAGGCGCTGGGCATTGAGGAGCAGAGCGGCGGTGCCGCCCGAGATGCCGGCAAGGCCAAAGAGGAGGAGAAGAAGGAGCCACCGCTGGTGTTTGAGCCCGTCACCCTCGAATCGCTGCGCCAGGAGAAGGGCTTCCAGAAGGTGGGCAAGAAGCAGATCAAGGAGCTGGACACGCTGCGCAAGAAGCACGCCAAGGAGCGCACCTCCGTGCAGAAGACCCAGAACGCGGCCATCGACAAGCTGATCAAGGGCAAGAGCAAAGACGACATTCGCAACGATGCCAACATCAAGAACTCGATCAACGACCAGACCAAGCAGTGGACCGACATGATCGCCCGCCATCGCAAGGAGGAGTGGGACATGCTGCGCCAGCATGTCCAGGACTCGCAGGACGCCATGAAGGCGCTGATGCTCACCGTTCAGGCGGCGCAGATCAAGCAGCTGGAGGATCGCCATGCCAGGTGCGTTTGCTGCTTAATAATTTTTTTTTTTTTTTTTAATAATTCCATTTTTTGTATCCCTAATATTGATTTGCAACTCATCTGAATTGTATTTTTTTTTCTCACAGGGACATCAAGGATCTGAATGCCAAGCAGGCAAAGATGTCCGCGGATACCGCCAAGGAGGTGCAGAACGACAAGACGCTTAAGACCAAGAACGAAAAGGATCGTAGGCTGCGTGAAAAGCGCCAGAACAATGTCAAGCGCTTCATGGAGGAGAAGAAGGTTCGAGTCGCTTATCCCATCCCCATCCTATCCTATCCTATCCCAAAATAACCAAGCGAATCTAAACAAAATATACATCCGCTCTTTCACAGCAAATCGGCGTTAAGCAGGGTCGTGCCATGGAAAAACTGAAGCTGGCGCACTCCAAGCAGGTCGAGGAATTCAGTACCGACGTGCAAAAGGTACTGAACGAAACTCGGCCGCAGACCGACACTATAACCAGTATTGAGACTGTACTTTAGACAACCACACCTGTATAGCTAGAGAGCGATAAACCGTAAACGATAAACGACAAACGATATAACCGATAACTGAAACGTGAAATGAAACAAAAGCAAACAAGAAAAAATATAACCAATACTGAAACCACAGTGAAGATATGCATCCCAGATACGATCGCTGTTGCTGTATCCCATTCTTATCGCTAGAGAAATTGAGAGAGAGAGAGTGAGAGAGATAGATGTAGAGAGTATCGACTGGGGATGCATCTTCCGATAATCGATAAACAATAACCGATCACGAACAAAAAACCCAACCTAAACGAACCCATCCGTACTAACCTGAAAAGTAATCGATCAGTCAGTAGCTGCTAATCTTTCACACTAACTGCTAAGATGTAATTATCTACTTTTTCCTATATATGTATTATATATTTATTGGTACATGTTCATTTTATTAATTCATCGTGTGCTCAACTTTCTTTCTTGTAATCGACTTGTTTCGATGATTTCAAGCACTGTTTTTGCGATCTTATACAGGATAGGGTAGCTCCTTCATTTTGCTTGCATTTTTTGGTATGCACTTCAACGTGAAGAGTCTGATTGTAAAGCAGTCTTAATATAATTATATTGTTTGGTTAAGAGGTTTTTTTTTTAATATAAAGAAAATAGTTCCTATTAAAAAAAGTACCAAACAAAATAATACAAATAATAATACTGTTTACGAGGAGTATCGCCATAAAAAAAAAAACAAAAACAGAATTTTAAGTTTTTGAATGCTCTTTCTTAAGGTTTAATAAAAAGGCAAGAGTAACTAATGTGAAAACAATGTAAGGATATTAGGATTATGTTTTAAATATTTATTGTATTGTTCTCTGTTATAAAACCTGTTTCCTGTATTGTATAGGAGCTTTTGTTGAATTTGTTTTATGGCCAAATACATTCCACTTGGAATATCTTGCACTTTGGCATTCATATTATTTCTTGGTTGGCTTTATATGTTTTATTGTATATGCTTTTCTGTGCTTTTTAAATTATATTTTTTTGTGTGCTGTGTGTCCAACTCACTGTATCCCTAACCTATGTCTCTGACTGTCCCCTTTCCAATTTGTATATGTGTTGTGTAAATAAGTTCTTGGCTCGAATCCTATAACTCCCTAGATCCTAAGCTCGCAGCTCTACTATCGAACTACTTTATAGAATATATATATATATATATATGTTTATATTATTTTATATATATATTATTTTACATATATATATATATATCATATATTATATATATATAAATTATATCATATATTATATATATATAAATTATATCATATATATATATATCTCGCTCTCTCTCTGTCTCTCTCTCTCTTTCACTCTCTACAACTGTCTCTGTCTAGAACCCAACCTGCCACGCCCACCTAACGCCTTGTCATTTATCGTTTGCTGTGTCGCCCTATAGCATAAATGCCAAAATAACTGAGATAAAACTAAATAAAATTCTATATATTTTCTCGCTCTTTCTTTCTCTCTCTCTCTCTCTCCCTCTTTCCAACACACGTACACATGCCCATGCTCTGTCTCTTTCTGTGCCATTTAAACCACGAAAAAAAAACCACACAATTTGTTTACTTTTGCGAAATGTTTTGTATTTGCTGTCTCACACGCTGCCGCCTGTCATCCAAAAAACCCAACTGCCGCTTCAAAAAAAAAAAAAAGCTTATGGACATGTACAAAATCGAGGAGGAGGCCTATAAGACGCAAGGAAAAACGGAGTTTTATGCCTAAGATCATACCAGGTCAAAGGTGAAAAAAAAGGAGAGCACTGCGATACCAAAACTATAAACTAAAAAAATGTTGAAAAACACTAAAAAAGAACGCTGCTGATCAAGATGAAGATGCTAACATATATTCTTCTTTATATACTGTAGTTACACACTCATGCAAAACACAAACACACACTCGCCTACATCTAGAAAGGGATAACTTTACTTAAATATTTACATGTGTGTTGTATGCAAGAAGCATAGGCATATTATGCTTATCAACTAGAATTCAAAACTGGAAAGTCAACACTTTGTGCTTTATATTTATTTAAGATTCTTAATGAAGAAGATAAAAAGAGAAATGAAGAGGCCACACATAAAAATGTGTCGTTTACGGGGAATTCCCCCCCCACTCGAATCCATTGTAATTTATTTTGAAAAACCAGAAACAAAAAAAAAATTAAAGAAAAAAAATGAATACCAAAAATATTGAATGGTATTTTGTGCTAATAACACGATAACAAGGGTACACCGATAAGTTTAGACCACATACAGTGCGTTTCAGGGTTAAAGGAACTACTTTGTACTCCCCTAAGCGGTGGAACACACTGTACACATGCATATACACACAACACCAGACATACACACCCCTACTCCCAAAATAATCGTACGTTTCAAGTGAACTACTTACATGAGTTTCCGATTCTCCACCTAATAGCTTAGCCAACTAACTAACTTAACCAGTAAGCCGAAAACCATTAACCAGTAAAGCAATCCAAGGAGCCCACAATTAACACCCAAAAATCAGTCAGATCTATGTATTTCATGATATATAAACATAGAAGTTGTAGAACTTTTTTTTTCAAAAGCATTTATTTTGCAAAAAACTAACGGAAAATAAACCCTCAACTGCTCGAAAAAAGAATACTATTAATAAAAAAAAAACCTAAAACAACAGCACTCACAGTCATGAACGAAGAAACGATGCAGAATAGTTTGTAAAGTAAATGTTATAAAACCTAAGTATTAAATGTGTAATTCAAACAATGAAACACCCCTACCGGCAGTTATATATACAATACACACACCACACATCATTTTGGGCTGAGAACGCCGAATCGAAAATGGTTTAACTAACTTTACATGAAATGTGAATTTTTATCCGCTCCGTATTAGTTTGATCTAATTTGTAGTTTTAAACCAAAAACGAGATAAAGATTTTGCGAATTTTACAACCACAAAAAGTAGCCAAAAAAAATATATATATGCATATATACACACAAAACAAAAACATGAAAACATGCATAGATCTAGTGAATATAATATACCAAAGTAAATGAAACAAACAAGAACTTAAGATGGATTCTGTTTGCATTGTCAAGACCGTTTATGTTGCACTCAAAATTTGCTGTTTGCATGTATTGTAGTTGTTGCAAAAATACCAAAAAAAAACCATTAAAAAACTCTAGAAAATTATATAAAAAAAAAGGCAAAGAGAAAAATATCCACACATAAATTTAATTTCCCTTGAATTTTGAATTGAATTTAAACTTGAATATGTGCCCTAAAGATCGATGACGGAGAAAAGTTTACACTGTGCTATTAACGAAACGAAAACATTTAGTTAACTCATACAAGGTAACTTTACTAAATTATGAACTATATTTAACCTACGCCTACGACTATGTATTTAGAGAATTAATCAAGTTTTTGAATGTGATAAGCGGTTACATTTTATTACACGAAAGCAAAGAAAAGCCAATCCCAACTATTTTCACCCCCAATACTTTCGCCTTATTCAACACTAATTTTTTTTGTTCCCTGAGGGCACGAATGTTGAAGATTAAAGAAGAAAAATGAGTGCGAAGCTTTGTATGATATGTAATATAATGTGCCAATCCCAATGATAACCAAAAACAGAAGATGAAAGTGAAATTAACTACGTCTAACTAAAAATCGCAACTAATTTATTTATTCGCATGTATGTGTAATGTATACATTAGATAGAGGCCTAGCCTCTTAGTCGAAAAGCCCTGAATTCTGGCACACCCAAAAACCCTAAAAAAACTTAACAATTCCAGGCAATATTGGCGTGGGTAAAAACTTTTCCGGGGAAAGGTTCGAGAACCTTCCGAATTTAGAATATCTGAAACCAGGACTGGCTTTTGTATAAAATTTAACCACTAAATGGGTTTAAAAAGGGTTTTAAAGTGGATTTGTTTGGGGTCTTTATAATTTCTTTAAAATTCAATGTAAAAAGTGTTACATTAAAAAAGAGTTTTATTTTTTAATTGTTTTTTTTTTTTAGAAGTTTTGTTGTTATTTAAATAAAAACCTCTGCAAATTTTCGTTAAATAATCCAATCAGTAAAAAAAAGAAGTGGTTTTACCCAGCCAATTACCTGGATTTGTCTACACTTAGAAAAATGTGTCAATTTTTTTTTGTATTTGTTTGTTGTTTGTTTTTTTTTTTAATCTAAATAAGTTATAGTCTATTAAGAAGCGCTAGAGCGAAACGTTTACGATATGAACGATTATGTAACCCATTAATTCGGGGCAACATTGATCTAGTTTGTACTTCTGTGAGAGCAAACCAAAAAAAACCCCAGATTATGAATAGCGATAGCCAGTAGCGAGATGACTCGAAAATGTATCTACTACCTACGTATTTATTGATTATGTTTGTGAGCAGAGAAATTAGCGACGTCTGCATAGATATGATTACAAGAACATAATTATTATAACTATAGTTTAAAGAAGGTCGCGAGCTGAGGTCGATGAAATTAACTTATATTTAAAATGCTGCGTATGAACTTATGATTATATACTATAAACTATATATTAAACTATTATGATTACCATTATTATCCTTATTATGATTATAACTACGATTGGCGAGTGAGTAACTTCAATTGCAATAAATTCTATTCCAAAGCGATTCTAGAGATTTACCATTTGTTTGCTATTTGTTTTCATTTATGTATCACCACCACACTCTTAATTGTTTGTTGGCCATTATTTGTGGCCAGCACTAAGCTCCCTCTATAAGGGCAATTATTTTATGGATTAAGTTTTAGCCTCATATCACCGCGTCCCCGAGAAATGTGCTATATTTGAATTTCTGAACCCCCACGCACGATGACAATTCGGCCCCTGTAAAAATTAGTTTAGTTTGTAATGGATCCTACCAAGTGTTAAGAAACAGCGAACTTTCGCAAGGATGTTAAACAGAGATAAACGATACGAGAAGAAAACCATAAATGTTAGAGAAGCATCACACACTATGCATTATATACCCAATATATACATACAGATACGGTTAAACGGATTTGGACTCTCCATTGCTATAATTTCGATCTGAATGTGTTTGTTGACTTTATGGAACGAGCAGAGGAGCATAAACATACTAGTTGATAGACATTAAATAAAACTCAAAACGAAAATTATTTGGGTTCCGTCTGAAATTGTAAAAAAAAAAACAAAATATATAAAAACTAAGAAGTTACTGGATGTTTTGGTGGTTATTGGAAATAAATCTTCAAATGAAAAGCGCTGTTTGTGTTTTTGTTGGATGGATTTGGAAATATATTAATATATAATATTTAAAGTATTTATTAATTATTATTTATTTATTATTATCAATTAATTAATCAAAAAAAATATTAAAAGACAAGTTGTAAATTCACTTCAGCACACGATTGATTTTATATACATTCACTTAATTATACATATATTTCTTTTAAACTGTATGTATGTAGATGTATACATATTTGCAGAAGTAATGCAATCTTGTTTTGGAAAGCATTATCAAAAGAATGGTAAAAAAAACAATCTAATGAAAATGCTTCCCAAGACATGAATGATTTTCAACAACACTCTTTAAAATACACATCAAAATGTTAATGTAAAGCTATATATTTTTAAATGTATTGACATTTCAATTGAGAACAATAGTGTTGTATAAATATTCACAGCAACTATGATTCCAATCACAATAACCAAATAATTTTATTAAAACGAAACAATTTATGATAAGAAGACAGCAGTCTGAACTACTTACCAAAATCGAAAGATTGTTATATATACAAAAAACAAACTCTTGACCTCCAGTAACTAGTAATGAATGTTTTGTTTTATGTTAGCCTGGTGTTTTAATACGTACATACGTTTAAGTCTGGCGCCAAGGTTTGTGTCACCGCTAAGTTCCACTCGATGATTTGCTCTTTTTCAATCGATTATGTTTTCACCCACCTCTAACAGCGTAAAGCTAAACGCGTACCATCCCTAATTCGCTTGACGTTGTTTTTGTTATTGTGGCAGAATAGCAGCGATTTACTTAATTGCTATATATATATAATCTAATATATAGCTAAACACGATTCTGGTGATTTTGGCCGAGGATGAGGAGATGTGCTCCATGAGGTGCTTGTGATATATGTACAAGGATTGTGCGTGATTTAATTGGATTTCCCGAGTGGACAAGATGTGGAAACTGCTGCAATGCACGGGAAATGCAGTTGCGAGGCGCATTTCCCCCGCCACTCACAACCTGGATGCAGTGCATCTCAGGTGCGTTGGCTCGGGTCAGGTGTCCACCGCCGATCCCGCCGATGAGCAAGTGCTGCGCAAGCGAAAGTTCCAGCCGCAAAAGGCGGCCGATCTCAGCGAGGAGTTGGCCGGCCAGCTGCCCACCAAATCGCGGGTGGTGATCTGTGGCGGTGGCATAACCGGCGCCTCGGTGGCCTATCACCTGGGCCTGAGTGGCTGGGGCGGCGAAACCCTGCTCGTGGAACAGGATCGCGTCGGCGGCGAGCTGCCGTGGACCGCCTGCGGACTGGCCGGCCGCTTTGAGCCCAGCTACACGGAACTCAAGCTGGCCGAGTACTCCATCGATCTGATCAAGCGACTGACGGAGAGCGGTCTGCCCACCGGCTGGCGGCCAGTGGGCAGTCTCAACTTGGCCCGCAGCTGGGACCGCATGACCGCCTTCAATCGCATGAAATCGCAGGCTTTGGCCTGGGGCATGCGCTGCGAAATCCTCTCCCCTGAACAGTGTGGCCAGCACTGTGAGCTGCTGTCGCTGGACGGCATCCAGGGTGGCCTGTGGATACCCGAAGACGGTGTCTGTGATCCCCAGCTCGTGTGCCAGGCCTACATGACCGAGGCGGAGCGGCTGGGTGTGCGCATCGTGGAGCATTGTGCCATCAAGAAGATCCACAGCGAGCACGGCAAGGTGCGGGGTGTGGCGACCACCGCTGGCGATGTGGAATGCGAGTACTTTGTCAACTGCACCGGCTTCTGGGCACGCGAGGTGGGCACTCTGTCCAAGCCGGTGGTCAAGGTGCCCTTGAAGGCGGTGGAACATCACTATCTGCACACCAGACCCATCGAGGGCCTCAGTCCGGATACGCCCTTTGTGAGGGACTTCGACGGCAGGATCTTCTTTCGGGAGTGCGAGGGCCACATCCTGGCCGGTGGCTTCGAACGTGAGGCCAAGATGGTCTACGAGGATGGAGTGATACCGCTCTCGCAGACAGCCCGCCAGCATCCGCCGGACTGGGATCACTTCCATGAGCTGCTGGACGCCCTGCTGCTGAGGGTGCCCGCCTTCCGGGAGGCCACCTTGGACCGGCTGACCAACTCGCTGCAGGTCTTCTCACCCGACTGCAAATGGATACTCGGCGAGGCACCCGAAATCCAGAACTACTATGTGGCCGCTGGCAACAAGACCATGGGCGTTTCGGCATCCGGCGGCATTGGCCGCGTGCTCACCGATCTGATCACCAAGGGCTCCACCTACTTGGACCTGCACATCCTGGACATCAGTCGCTTCCTGGGGCTGCACAACAATCGCAAGTTCCTGCGCGACCGCTGCAAGGAGGCGCCGGGCAAGCACTTCGAGATCAACTACCCATTCGAGGAGTTCCAGACGGGCAGGAACCTGCGCATGTCGCCCATCTATCCGCAGCTCAAGGCGGCGGGCGCCGTCTTTGGCCAGTCGATGGGCTACGAGCGGCCCAACTACTTCGATCAGCAGGACAAACAGGGTGGGTACGATAAAGGGCTGTGTGCACAACCTTACGGCACCCACTGTTACGTAGAAAACATGTCACAAATCATTGGGCAAAGGAAGCTTTTCATTGAATATTTCAAAACTACAGTGAAAAAAACTCGCTTTGCCGAATCATAATCACACACATATCAAATTTCACCCTAGATAAAATATGTTAACCATTTCAGAGAGAATCTGTTGCCTTACTATTTATAACCAACATATAATGGTATGTTACTATAAACTGACTATAAAACGGCTTCTCAAAACATTTAGGAAGATAATATTACCATTGATCGCGTCTTTTGATACACATTACTGAAATATTGAAAGATACAGTTCATATGCTTCAAAAGACGAAATCATTGGAACACACATAGTCGATTTAAGGCAGATTTATATACAGACGACGCGAATAAACCTATAAACTAAATGTTTAAAAGTGATATTAAACAATTAAATACCATATGTAACGTAATATGTTTTTATATTGGTGCCTAAATTTTTATGGTATTTCAAATTAAATCTTTGCAAATTAGTTAACTAGAGAACATTGAGCATAACACCTAAGAAGATGATGTTACCATTGTTTTAGTGAGTTGAAAAACATTACTGAAATATTCAAGAATTCAGTTAACTAGTTTCAATTCTCAAAATTATTGTAAAACTCATCTAAATTATGCAAGTACAGACAATGCGAACAAGTTGATTTTAAAAAGGAGTGCATAGTCAACAAAATGTTAAAAGAGAACTTGAAAATTCACTTGTTTTTATATCTATTCACTTTATTATATATTTTTTGTAATATGTATGTATGTATGTCGATGTATACATATTTGCAGAAGTAATGCAATCTTGTTTTGGAAAGCATTATCAAAAGAATGATAAAAAAAAAAAAAACAATCTAATGACAATGCTTCCCAAGACATGAATGATTTTCAACAACACTCTTTAAAATAGACATCAAAATGTTAATGTAAAGCTATATGTTTTTAAATGTATTGACATTGAGAACAATAGTGATTCCAATCACAACCAATTCTATTAAAACAAAACAATTTCTGAAAATAGCCTTTAAGCCACTTGCTTTAAATTTAAATAATAAATAATCTAAAATAGATAAACATACCCTCGCTGAATTACTAATCCTGCTCCATTGCGTTCCTTTATGCCAGATGAGTTTGGACTGCCGCGCTTCCGGATTGCCCAAACGCGGACCTTTGGCAAGCCGCCGTGGTTCGATCACGTGGCATCCGAGTATCGGGCGTGCAGGGAGCGCATTGGGATCGCCGACTACAGCTCCTTCACGAAGTACGACTTCTGGTCGAAGGGCAACGAGGTGGTGGACCTACTGCAGTACCTCTGCTCAAATGACGTCGATGTGGCCGTGGGCTCCATCATCCACACGGGCATGCAGAATCCCAATGGTGGCTACGAGAACGACTGCTCCTTGGCACGCCTCTCCGAGCGACAGTAAGTATATACATATATTATTTTCTGTTTCCTGTTTTAAAATTTAGTAATCAATGAGTAAAAACTTTCAGTTACATGATGATTGCACCAACCATCCAGCAAACGCGCTCCATGTGCTGGATACGAAAACATATGCCGGATCATTTGAGGGCCAAGGTGAACGTGGCGGATGTGACCTCCATGTACACGGCCATCTGCATCCTGGGACCCTATTCGCGCATCCTGCTCTCCGAGCTCACCGACACCGATCTCACGCCAAAGAGCTTCCCCTTCTTTACGTATAAGGTGAGGGATTCTGGATTTAGTTCCTTGGAAATGAATCAGAAAACATTATCAATAAGCATTACTCATTTGAAACCCTATTCATTTTATATTTGATTTGTATTTGTATGAGGATTAAGTTAGGAATTATCCTTCTTTGGTTCAAGAATGCTTTTTCATCTAACGCTTTGCACCTTTGCTTAAATACTACGTTTCAGTTTAGTTCCCAAGGAATGAGGAACATATCTTTATTAAGCACTTGTTTGAGAAATAAGTTTGGCTCAAGATTTTACGTTGCAAAACGTTTCCGTTTCGAATGGTATTAGTTTATAGATTAAGTTTTAGCCTAGTTCCTAAAGAGTGAATCCATTATCAATATTAAGCATCTATCCATCATTTCGTTTTTAATTGATTTGAATGATGATTCAAGTTTAAGCCTACCCTCATTCTTAAACATTTATTCTAAAACATTCTCTCCTTTTTTAAAATCGATTTGTTTAATTATTCATTTTTAATATAGTATACATATGATTCAGCACTAAACCGGCTGCCCATTGACAGTGGTTTTAAAAAGCTTAAGCTTGAATCTGTTAATTGATGGTTTATTGTTTATGAATCCTTTCTAGGAACTGGACGTGGGCTTGGCCGACGGCATCCGAGTGCTGAACATCACCCATACGGGTGAGCTGGGCTATGTCCTCTATATTCCCAACGAATATGCTCTGCATGTGTACTCGCGACTCTATCAGGCTGGCCACAAGTTCAACATACAGCATGCGGGTGAGATAATAACAATAACTCTTCCAAACCGAATTGGGAATCAAGACAATCGTTGCCCATTTAAGGCTACTACGCTACCCGAGCCCTGCGCATTGAGAAGTTCTATGCGTTTTGGGGCCAGGATTTGGACACCTTTACCACGCCGCTGGAGTGCGGACGCAGTTGGCGCGTCAAGTTCAATGTAAGCAGGCCCTAAATAATAATAATAGCAATATCAAATAATCGAGAAATGCAATTCCATCTGCAGAAACCCATCGACTTTATTGGCCGCAATGCGTTGCTGAAACAGCGCGAGGAGGGCGTTAAGCGGATGTATGTACAGCTGCTGCTGAACGACCATGACCACGAGGTGGACATGTGGTGCTGGGGCGGGGAGCCCATCTATCGCGACGGCGTCTATGTGGGCATGACCACCACCACCGGCTATGGCTATACGTTCGAGAAGCAGGTCTGTCTCGGCTTCGTGCGCAACTTCGATGATGAGGGACGCGAACTGGCGGTGACCAATGAGTACGTGCTGTCCGGCCACTATGAGGTGGAGGTGGCTGGCGTGCGGTTCGAGGCCAAGGTCAATCTGCATTCGCCCAACCTGCCCACCAAGTTCCCGGATCGCGAACGCGAAGCCTATCATGCCACTCGCGACAAGCCGGATCAGGCCGATCTCCTCTCATTTGGCGCTCACTTGACCAAAGTCACCGGCACCGGAACGCCAACGGAGGACCTTTAAGGGTTACTCTTCCCCTTCCCCTTTCCCTTACCGTTCCCCTTACCGTTCCTGCGCTCCTGACCAACGTCATCTGCCACAAGGCTGTGCCAAGCAAAGATTTCTAGTTAACACTCGAGAGTCTCAAAAGCAAAGCGATATTATTCGGTTTAGTACGTTAGCGAGTCGAGCGAATATTAGAGGGGCAAATATGGTTGATAGCACAACCGAAGGCAATCATTATCAAATCTAATTTCCTTTATCCATTATGAGGCATTAAAATCAGTTTATCAGTCAACAACATTACTTTTAGAGAAGATCCAGAATTTAAGCTACCAAAAATCCATACCAAATTTTATATGAAACAATTTTCTTTTGGAAGAGTTTTGTTAGCTTAAATACTGACCCTTAAAATTTAACAAAATAACACTTGATTTCGTGTTCCACATTCATAAGAAAAATGATGTTTTGTACTGGTTATTAAAAAAAAGTTAAAATTTGGTGAGATATTGTTATGAGTAAGAAAACTTTTAGCTTGCTCAATCACTAGATTAGATAAACAGGATTTTCTTGGTTTTTCTTTGTCGATTTCAGTTTTTACAAAATTTAATTAAAAGCTTAAAAAAAACATCGAATTGGTATTTATAAAAATCCAAGAAAATCGCCATTTATATATTGTTCTCTTGAGAGTTTCGGTTTTGTTGTGTCAATTAAACAAATACAATAAGCTACAAAATGCGGTTCTATGTCCGTTCTATATATCTAAGAAACATCCGTGATATTGGAATAATTGAAGAATGTTTTGCACATTGTTACAAGAAAGAAAAAACGGCACAAGAATTGTTAAAATTTTTGCTCAAAGCTGGCTTTGCAACTAATTGGAGTACCAATTAAAAAGGGATTAATAAAAATTTATATAAGCAAAATATTAGGAAAAGTTTTTGAGACAGTTTTGAGTAATTTTTTTTTTGTTTTTTTTTACTAACCCAGACAATTGACTTTGTAAATTATATGGTGTGTAAAATGTATAAGCCACATACAACACACACACACACATACAGCATATTATAAATCCTATTGTACTATATACATTTATAGAAATATATTTACTGTTTACAAAAGCTTCCATAAGATGTTGATCCCCCCCGAGAGCTGGAAAAAAGTTGGAGCAGCTGTTCGGCGCTCGGGGTTTGTTGCGTTTGGGTTTTCGCTGGCTTTTTGGCTAAGACATTCAGTTGGGCGTGTGCTAATGCCCGAAAACTCAGTGCCCAAGATTGCAGCACATGTTTTGGCCAAGTTTCGACTGGCTGACTGGCTTATGCTTTGCTTTGCTTTTGTTTTGCTTTGCTTTGCTAGCAAAGTTTGCTTCCCCAAAAATACAGAATACAGAATACAGGCTACCGGTGGTCTGTTGTGCCATTCCCCTTTACCCACCCTCCATTAACTTTCTGTCCTGGAGGCACTTTCGGCCACGCTTGGCTAACTCTTCTGGCCAAGTTCTCCATTCTCCAGTCTCCATGGCTGTGTAGGATTACAAACTATCTTTTTGTTAGTAATTAGCTGCACACGATAAACGTGACATTATTATTGTTGCCAGGCAGTTGGGCAAAAGTTTGGCTCTCCCATCTGAGACTGCTCTTTGGATTTGGTTTGGGTTTTGGTTTTGGCCCTGGCTTTGGCTTTGCCTTTTGCTTTTGGCCCATTTGAATTTTTGCAGAGCAGGAGGAGCAGGAGTAGCTCTGGTCGGGTCGTTTTACAAATGAGCATTTGTTAAATCAAAAATTCAAGTGGCAACGCCGCACTCCAATGGCGCCAGCTAGCCAGCTCTTCGTCATCCGCATCTGCCTACCATCTACCCATCCACATCCACATCCCCATCCCCAATCCCAGCCAGAAATGATCAATTTTGAGACGACGACGACGCCCCTCCTCGTGGCACCAAAAAAAAAAAAAAAAAAAAAAAAAAAAAAAAAAACCAAATACCCAATGTCTGGTGATGGCTCCTCCTTCGGGTCGTGTAATTTATGCCCATTTATTGTGTGGTCGGTCGGTCGCTCCTACCGTCTTTTGCCTGCTGTGGTTTCTGCGGAGAGCAATCACTGAATTTGCATACAAATGTCCCATCCCAAGCCATTCTGATTCAGAATCTGATTTCGATTTTCAGTCGCCGCCGCCGTCGTCGTCGTCGCAATTCTAGGGTCAATTTGTGGTCTGCAAACAGCAAACTGGACGACTCTGAAGACTGGAGCCTTCATCGAGATGACTATACATTTATGTATGCACATACATACATAGCGGAAAAACTGATTTTTTTTGGCAAATCAATCAAATTCTGATAAATCGTTTGCCAAAACTAGCGTGCGTTTGCGTAATGCAGTGAAAAAAAGGGGACAAATGCGCAGGCGCAGCTCGCCAAAATTTAAAGCTTTTTGCAGGACCTCTCAACTGTTCAGCATTTTGATTGATTTGTATATGTTTTCTTTAATTATTTTGTATAGTACTGTATTAAAAAACAAATACTCACTTTTTTTTAATTTTAACTTTGGCAGTCCGGGAAGACACGTCTTTTTCCGACGAAAGCCAATCCAAAAAGAATTAGAGAGGAGACTTCTGGAATTCAAGATGGCTGGATGCAGGCAATAGATCAAGGGCATCATTATTTTACTGCGTAGAGTTGTCATTTAAATATCGATTACCACAGATGTAAATAAAAATCACAGAATTAAAAAAAAATAAAAAAACCTACAACTTTAAGTGAAATTGACACGCGAAATTAAATGAAATACAAACATTATAAATTTTTCCTAAACTTTAAACGCGTTTTTCCCAAAACTAATTTTTTTGAGGTGGTTGACATGATATTTATTTTAAAATTTGGTATATATCCGGTTTATACAACTTTCTATCGCATCTGCCTCGGATTTTAAAAAATGTGATTATAAATATATTTTAAATATTTAAAAAGGTACAAAAAATTGGGTAAACAACATTTTTGTTTTCAAGTCGATGTTATTTTGTTATTATTTAAATGAATAATTTGATTGATTTTTTTTTCAATCTTACCAAAGGCTGAAATCATGTCAGCCAGGACGCACCGATTCGCCGAACTTTAGTCTCAAAATGTTAATAAAAAACATATAAAAAAATGTGTATTAAAAATTTTATTCGATTTTTTTGTACCTTACTTTAAAAAATGTCCAAAATTTATGCTCCTAGACCAAAAAACCCCCTTAATTAGATAAGTTCATAATTAAAAAAGACCCACAAATGAAAATTAATCGTTATAAAACAGAGGAATATATCAAAAAGTTCATCAAGGGTGTTCCCTTTTTGGTGTCACAGCTTATGAAAGTTGGCAACTCCTAAAAGAATCGCTTGGCTTGCCTATCGGTGAACCTAGAGCTCCTGGAATTGCCACGTGGACTGATCTGATTTGAGGTTAAGTGTTCGCTGGCAGTACAGTCGCACAAATATCGATAAATTGTTAGCTGATAGCAACAGGCCAACCTCCAACACTGGCAAGCGTTGAAATTCCAAAATCAAAATTAAGTTTGTGCACAAAAGCATTTAACTTTAATATGAATTTGCGGACATTTCAACTAGAAAACAACAGAAGAGAGATGCTTTTCGTGGAGTAACTAGAGAGCAAAGGGATGGCTCCCAAATCTTCAAGTGCAGTAATAATTCCAGGAACTCAACAATTCCAGGAACTCAACAACTAAATTTATAAAATCGCACTTCTACTTTTTTAGACCCGAGAATGTGACTTGGATCAGTGGAAAACTTTAAAGTTATCTAATGAAGGAGCCAAAATTACTTCGCATTGTTGGAGTCTGGAAATAGTTATTAAAATGTTGGTATGTTGTGAACTATTTTCCATATATTTACTAAAAGAATTGTTGAAATGAAATGTATTATTGGTTACATTTTAAGTGAAATTTCAAATATGAACTCCCAATTGTATCCCTGCTCCTTTTTTCCAAATGAATTGCTTAATAATTACTAGTTTATATGTGAGCAACATATTAGTTATTAGCCCAATTTAATAATTATATTCTTTCCAAATTTAGTTAAATTTTTGCTTACAAATTATTTTCTAAATAATAACTAAAAGAATTGTTTAATTAAAATCTATGATTGGAGACATTTTAACTTAAAAACTTAACAAATGAACTCCCAATTTCCTTTCTTAGAAATCTCTACCCAAATCCCAACTCATTTCGGAGCACGTGCTACTGTCCACTGGTCCAATATTTGCCCATGTGAAGGATGCAGTGGGGGTCAGGAGCTGGAGGATTGGTTAGCCGATGTTTGCAGAAAATTAACAAATGCCGAAATGCCGAAATGCCGGAGCCCAGAAGCCCAAAAAGCCGCCGGATTATGTTCGATGGGATAATGATTTCAAATCCTCTCTGGCCGAAAGTAATGCGCCTCATTAGAGGTTAAGCTCCCGGCTCTCCGTGGTTTTCCGCCGCCTTCGGCCATCCGGATTTTGTCCGGATTTCGTACGGATTTCGTCGGGCAAGAGGGCCTTTGTTTGCCTAATTTTCCACGTTGATTTTCTAGCCGCAAAACAAATGAAACGTTCGCTGCATATTAAGCGTCTAATTTAATTTACCAGAGCCAAAAACCAAAAACCGAAACAGAAGTCGGGGGTGTGGCAAAGTGGAGGAGTGGAAAAGTGAAAAAGTGAAAAAGAAGTGGAAAAGTCAACCCTCGGGACGACCAGTGGGTGGTTTTTGGACGAGCTTAAATGCTTCATAATGAAAATCTGTGATATCTTGCGGTTCGGCTTTGATTTTTCCCTTCTGTTTGCCGTCGCTCAAGTGGTTGATGTTGATTGTCTGTCAATAGAAGTGGTCCGGGATTGGGAGTTTTGGGATTCTGTATTCTGTATTCCATATTCTCGGGATTCGGGACTGGGATTACAACTTTCGAGTGCCGGGCACGTCCCAAAGAAGTTATTAGTGACCGTGCCTAAGCCTTTGATTGCCCAGCCACCCATCTCCATAAGTCCTAATTTGTTTATGGCCCAAATTGCATTTGAATGCGCGGGTGGCAACTCGGTCTCGGATTGGTTCATACCATCTCGGGTGGCAAAGTCAAGCCACTTTCCATGGAAAACATCTCACTACGCGGTGTCCCCGGCTACTGTGCTTCAAATGCTGGGAAACTTGTTGGGGGAAAATGTAAAAACTTTGTACATTTATTAATTCCTTTGAGGTTTTCAGCTGTTAGTTTATGTACTGAAGTTCGAAAAAAAATGTTTACTTATGCAGACGCTATATAAATTAAATAAATAAATGAATTAATTTAATAATTCAATTAAACTAAATATATTAAAACTTGATTAATAAAAATAATATAATAATATTTAATAATTATTCACTTGATTGTGATTATTAAAATAAGTAGCTGGTGTAATTGTTACTTATAATTTTGTTGTTGATTTGTTTTAAATTTCGAAAAACTAAAAAAGAAACACATCATACTGAACGCATAGTCATATTGAAAAACCTTTAGAAAGCTTTTAAAAATGTTTTAATAATTCTAAGCAAAATTTTCTTTATCTTGTAGGACACTGTAGCCACCAAAGTGGTCCACCTCCGTTTCCGCGACACCATCCGCACCACCCGCACCACCCACATCAGCCACACCACCCACACCACCGTGACAAGGCACGCTTCGCTTTCCGCGCCTTTGCATGCGACGAGATTGTCACTGTGATTTATGCCTGAGAGGGTTGCACCGCCAAAGGCGAGTGGGTGGAAAGTGGGTGCAAAGTGGGGTCGATGGATAGTCAAAAACGCGAGCTCACATGGCCGTGCAAGTGGAATAGAAGCGGCAGTCAAAAAGGCAGCCGAGCAGAGGAAGCTGAGTCTGAGCCAGTCAGCCGGTCGCAGGCGTCAACAGGATGCCAAGGACGAAGCGATGGAGAGGGGGGTGGGTGGTTCAGTGGGTGGTTCGCTGCCAGAGGAGGACAAGGATGAGCCGACGACGGAGGGTTGCGATTACAGTGTCATTGGCAGCGTCGACGGCGTCACTTTGCGCACTGCCAAGTGCAGCCACCAGAACCGAATCCAAATTTCAATAACCAAATCAGAGTCACCCCAAAACACCC